TGGCAATTGCCGACGTCTTGAAGGAAGTGCTTTTCTTGAGGCAGGTTTGGCGTTTTATGTTGCCAGATGCAGGTATGCCGTGCATTCCGGTCTTCGAGGATAATCAGGGAGCGATTCAGATTGCGCACAACCCGATCACGAACTCAAACTCGAAGCACATCGATGTACGGCATCACTTTATCAGGGAACTGGTAGAGAGGAAGGAGATTTCGATTACGCATGTGACGTCGGAGTTTCAGCATGCAGATTTCTTGACGAAGGCTATCAGCAAGGAACCTTTCGCGTTGCACAGAGACTTTGTGATGAATTTGCAGTGAAAGTAGTGTTTTCGGATCAAATCGTGTTTTTCCGCGGAGTGGAAGAGAGAGGATATGTACGGGCTTGAACAAGAGACGGAGAGAGTCAAGTGGAGATGGTAGTGTTTTGGAGAGTTAGTGTTTGGGACTTTTCTTGGTGATTTGGAAGAGTTGGTATGCGATTGATTATTTTCGGACTTATTGTTTTGGTGTTGGGATTTTNGGTAGATTGGTGGACATTCATGGAGATTCGTTTTGGGTGTTTGAGCGTTATGCGTGACTTGATGCCGTGATGGAATGACGAGCTCAAGCACGCCCCCGATTAATACAACACGTATACAACACGGATACAACACGTTTCCCAACACGTTTTTACCAATCCACGCCCCGTCATGGGCCACCCGCTCTAAACTCCAAGCACACAGAACTGGGTCACCCGAATTATCGATCATAGCTAGCCTCTAGTCTACTCGACACCGCCGAGGTGGTTCGGCGACATATAGTCTATTGAGCCATATCTCGGCAACCACCCGTCACTGTGAGACGAACGAGGGCTTGTGTGACAGCTCAGAGCCGAAAGAACGCAGAGGATGTTGCTTCGAAGCATTTTGTGGGGTGCCGAAAAAATATTTTACGAGATCGGTGTCGTCAATACGGTTTGAATAAATACACGGAAAACGGAAGAAAGCGCTATTTCATGGTACGTCATAATACACGTATCACCCCTTCAAGCAATCCGTTGGTCTCCCACGAGCCACGGCTATTCGGCAAGCCATGAAAGTACAACCGTTTGTTGAGGTGAAATCCTCACAACGCTTGGCCATCTCATCAATACAGGGCGTGCGGATCTGTACAAAGTCCTGTAAATACGATGTTGCCTGGTGGAGCAGATGGTGTTGCCAATCTGCTCCACCGGCCTTTGAGCCACTGAGCCCCCGTTGGTGGAGGTTTCCCTGCTCCCACTAGTCCTATTGGGGTGTCCGATGGCTTGTTTGATAGCTGTGAGCCGTGCCAATACAATTCCAGTCTTCGTAGGGCAAACGACGCCCTGTAGATCGAGTTGGGACTGATGGAGGAGATATGGCCAATCTGCTCCACCGGCCTGTGAGCCCCTGAGCCCCCGTGGGAGGGCATCTCATCTCCACCCAATAGTCCGATTGGGATGTCCGATGACTTGTATGATAGCTGTGAGCCGTGCCAACACAGTGCCAGTCTTCGTAGGGCAAACGAGGCCCTTTAGATAGAGTTTGTTGGCCTCGTGGAGCAGATATGGCTTTCCTCCACCGGCCTTTGAGCCACTGAGCCTCCGTTGGTGGGCGTTTCTCTGCACCCACTGGTCCGATTGGGGTGACCGATGGCTTGAATGATAGCTGGGAGACATTCCAACGCGGTACGATCAGATTTAGGCATGGTTCAGCTACGTGACGGGAGGTGTAGCGCGACTACTGAGGTTTATCCCCCCTTCACACGCTGCGGAACCCGCTCTGTCGACCATATCTCTGCAACATATCGGATGCAAGACTCCGACAGCTTGTGTGAAAGGTATGGAACGTGTCCAAGTGATGCGAAACGTTTTGGATCCAGTGGAGGTGCGGGGGCGGAGGATCGAGACGATTACTACTTCCCGAGATGCTGCGAACCCCCTCCCTTTTAGGCTGCCCCTTTCTAGCATAGTCTATATCTACGGCCGTAGACCCGATTCAGCTTCTAAGCAAGCAGCGTTTCAGATAGCTGTAGCACACACCAACGATGCAATTAGTTGAGGTCAACTGGAGCTCTGTGGGCGGATATCTGCCTGAGGGAGCAAGTACGAAGCTACTCCACCGGTGGAGTAAATAGCATTGCCGCTTCACTATTCGTTTTCCGTGCTTAAGGTCGCCACACTAATCTCATGCTTGCATAGATCTGTTCAACCTTGGGTGGTGCTCCCGTGGTCGCCTTCGTACGCCAAGGATGCACAAGAGTGGTGCTCGCTAATATACTCGTCTAAATGAACGGTGCTGTTGGTGCTGTACAATGCAATCCTCGACACAGATTGACAGCATACAGCCAATGCATGCTATGAACAACCAGCACACCCTGTCTTTTTGTATCTCGCAACCACTGTACACATCAAGAGAAGCGGCAGTCCGCCAAAACACAACGGTCGTTCACTCTCAATTTCGGAGCTTGTGGTGATGCCACTGGCATTACTCGTTTTGAAGTGGCCACCAACATCAACCAAGCAAGTCGATCACTGGGAACCACACGCGCGTTTACATCACTGGAGCGCCAAAATACATTATCATTTTTGCTGAAACATCTATCGAACATCATCCAATATACCGAAACATGCACGGAACATTATCCAGCTTCGTATTGCACCAACGCAATGCAACTCAATACGACTCAATACCGAAGTAAAACAAATAGCTACGACGTCACCATGAACGCAGCACCTGCAGACGTTAAGTGCCCAAAAAACGGATGACACCACGTCGTGTGAGCGGGTTGTCAAGAAACTCAAATCTCTCAAGCTACACCATATCTTCCAGAGTACTTTCTGAGGGATTTCCCGCTCAACGTTGTACGTCAACGGGTAGAACGATCTGCGTCGTATTGACGTCGTGTGTGTTCGGATCACCCCCAAGTCCGCATTGTGGTCCACGGGTAACAAGGGAAGAGCAAAGGGGTTGATCCGAGACACTTGATTTTCGTCTTCCATTTGTAGGCATCATTACTGACGTCTGAGAGGGAACCCCGTCCGTCGGTCTTGGATGGCCAGGGTGAAAGGATGGCGTGACCGTAATGTTGGCGCTCTTCACTGGACGGATCTGCCGACGTACTTGATGCCACGCCTAGCGCACGTCTCGCAAAGAGGCGCGTTGACGCCCCCACCACCGCAGAAGTAAACCTCCGTTTCTTGGGAAACTTCACCGATGATTGTCTGAGGAAGCACCAAACATGCGAACACCAGGGGCAACGCCCGCCAGCGCGGGTTCACAAACTTGTCGTACCGTCGAACGTAGCCGGCGAACAAAGAATTGGAATCTGTCGTGTCGTGCTGACGATGGAATGTCAACGCAAAATAATGCAATACTGTCATTTTGACCAGAACACTGTCGGTATATGTACGTGTTTCCACGTGCACACGGTGGGCGTATTCCCCGGCTCATGAGAACGTGGCGTCTGGCAAGAACGTACTATTGTCCATTAATACTCACTACAAGCAGTGGATGTATGGAACGGAAGGTTGATCGCTCACCTTGATGTCCAGGTGACCCATGACCAGCTCAGGCTCGGGGCCGCTGGTGTCACCAACAATCTGCGAACGAAGAAGCCCAGCGAGGAATGAATAATCTTGTGCAACATTTTCGTGAAGAGAGTATCGGGTGGAGATTATTCCAGTTCTCCAATGGTAAGGACGCACATAGCCTTCAGAAGCAGCGTAGGTCATCGGATAAGCCGTCGGTCTACGCGAACGACACGATCTGTCCGTACTCACCAAAGTGGAGAGGAGCTGTGGCACAAAATGAGGTGTGACCGACAAAGGTTGAGGGTCCCCAACAGTTTGTGGTTTGCAACCGTCGATATGATCATAGTTCACGAGAGAGGTGAGTACTGATAAAGGTGGGTGAGATGGCCGCAAAAAACACCGGGTTCAGCCTGTCTAGCGAGTGGTGGGATCGACAAGAGGCCGTGTTCCCGTGCCTCCGTGTTACTGGAAGCTTGGGATCAACCCCATGGCTCTATCTCATGTGCGAACCTCTGAGTGGTCTGTGGTCATCAGGGAAATTTCACCGTGGGTGTGCTCTGTGTACCACTCGTGCAGTCCCTCCGATACTTCGTTGCGAGGAAAAGCGTCGTTCCCGGAACACTACAATTCGCACACAACAACATATTCGCCTGATTGAGAGCGAAGTATCTGATTGAGAGCGAGAGCCAAAAAAATTGAAATTTCGGGTCCAGACGCCTCTTGCCATTTCTTGGCAAGTAGGGGACGGGCTATTCCAAGAAGCGGTGCAAATTGAAGGTCTCATCAGCAGCTTCGCGAGCATATGCGTGTCATCGTCATCGGATGCTGCAGCGAGGAGCTAGACAAGTTGCTAGATTTGCCCAGATTGGCTATTTCTGCTCAAACTGTTTCAGGGCGGTATCGCGTCGGGCGGTGGGCTCTGCTGTAGCTTCTGCTCCCCGCTGTAGCTCCACAACGAGAGACTCCCACAGGATGACCAGGGTAGCGGCTTGAAGCTACGGGCTAGCCCTTCAATTCAAGCTACACAGCAAGCTCCACCTCTCAGTGGTAGTCCGGCTACAGCGTATCGCGCGATCTCGCTCTCAATCAGATGCTACGCTCTCAATCAGGCGAATATGTTGTTACACGTATTACAGCACTCAATACCAACACCACTTTCCCCCACTGCCATTGAGTATTCACCTGAACATCTTCGTGGCGTGTCAGAGCGGTCTGGATGTGAATCCCGGGGGACCGCTCGGCGAGAAGGGTGTTGGTAACGAACTGAAGCAGTGCCAGGCTAGCAGAGGAATGGTATACACCGAAACCGGCCGCAATGGCACAATGTTGTTGGCCCTAACATACCCCATGAAGTCGAGGACGAGAGCCGCTCCCGCACCTGGAGCAACGATCTTGTGCAAGAGATGCGCGCGATGGATGCCACAGGCACGATGAAGGCACGATGTTATGCACATCTTTGCGAAGAATTTGAACCAAATTGAAAACCCGCAAGGGCCAGACGTGCGGAAGCAACCGGATGCCGTGATGTCTAGGAATCATCAGTTGGTCTAGCATGGTAAACGTTAATCAAGCAACGGCCTCACCATCGGCTGCGTCAGCGTGACTTGCGTCCCACATTGCCATCAGCGCACTAGACCGACCAACTGGTTGGTTGGTTCCAGCCTTTCAACAACCCTCCGAAGGTTTCTCGACAACGTTCCAATAAATCGCAAATCCCGCAACCGTTCATACCAGCAGGGGGGGCAAGTGTGGGAACTCCACCAGGCGGCCGTACTCTGAACGGTAGGGCCCGAACGTGCGAAGCTGAAACGTTGGGTTCCGCTGAGCCGCCTCAAGTTCGGGGATGCTCGAAGTTACGGGGTCACGGAAGATGCTCAAGATGAATGTGAGCCCCATGCAGCTGCACTTCCTGTATCGAGGTATACCATTCCATGGAAGCGTGTGGCCGTTTCCACGGTTGGTGAATGTGCACGCTGTGGTTGAATTCTACGAATTGGTTCGCGACCGTGATTATTTGTATGGGGAGCAGAGCATAGGAGCACGTAACCACATGATGGTATTCATATGCACAGCATGCATATGGTATAGTCTAGTCTATGCTCCACGACCGACAAGCCGAGCGTCTTCGGAGTCCCGAAGTTAGTCTGGAGTGAGGCGGCGAAGGTGGAGGGGGGGGTACCGTGGCACGCGGGGGTGCTACAGGGAGCTGAGAGGTTCATGGCCTCTTGGCACAGGGGCAAGGAGGAGGCCAGCCGACAACGAGCCATCAAACGAAGAGACAGCGGGCCCAAAAATAGTCTAGATACGGCACCAATCAACGGGGCGGTAGGGGGGCGGGAGGAAACGGCGCGGGAAGAAAGCAAGCGAGAAGAGACCGACCGCGTGACGTGACATGTTGCGGTCGAATTTCAACGACTAATTGTTCTGTTGCCCTCTCCCCCGTTTGCTGTCGCGTTCAGACTGTCTCTAGGGATATCCCTGTCTCTGTGCGAGTTTGTTTGTGTCCTCGTCTTTGCTTTATTCTGTTTTATTTTGTCTTTTGTTTTGTTTTTTACTGGCACGTACCCCCGCCCCTTCCTTTGGCCGTCGACCTGCCTCCATGTAGTGGGAGGCTACCCCCCCAGGCTGGTGGTGCGGCCGTTCCACTAGTCTAATTATTTATTTTATTTTTATTTTATTTGTTTCTGATTATATTTTGTTTTCTTGTATTTTATCGCTCTGCTGACCCTTGGGGTCCATTTTATTTTGGTATACCTTTTCTAGGTACGTTAGCCTGTGACCACGGAAATTGGCCGAGTCAAGTGATGGATTAGTACGGAGAGATTGAGACAGAAGGAGGTACTGGATAGAGAGACCGGGATGGTTTTTAATGTGAAGACAACAACAACAACAACAACAACAACATACGAAGTTAAAATCCGGCTCGATATCCCCTCAAAACCTAACCAAGAGACGAAAACATACATATTCCCGTGCCTGGTATCCTCCCGTGCCGGTATCGAAGGGGCCTGGCTGTTTCTGACATGTTCCTCCGCGGTTGGTCCGCAGTCGGCAGCCATGAATAGGAACGATGTCATGGATACGGTGTCGGGAGGTTCTGAGACGTTCCGAGGCTATTTATTCGATGTTCTACCGTAGGGTGACGTGGAGGTCGATTTCCGCTCGATTTCCGCCATCCGTAAGTGGACACAAGTGGGTACAATTTGGACGTGGGTCGAAATATAGAAATAAGTGGGTACATGAAAAAAACAGTCTAGTTGATGCCGCTGGGTATACCAACCGCGATGTCGGACAGAAGTGGGCACTCTGGTGAGGCCTTGCGCGCCTCTGCGGTATTAGGGCCGAACGTATGCCTGAAGGTGGGAAAAAATCGATGCCCGTGCTGTGTATGGTCCGTGGCTGTGTCGCGCAGGTGCCAGATGTGATACTTGGTATTCGGGTTCTGCTGATGACCCAATCAACCAATCCAATGCAGAGCGATGTGGCTCTACACTAACGGTTCTTGTGCTAGGTTCGAGGTTCTTGTCAGTGGGTTGCTCTATGTCTCGGACGGATGTCGCCGAAGATGCTAGATCAAAGACTCGAAGACCGAGGATGATGGATGACGCTTTGAAGAGGAAACTTTGTCGTTGATCCTGCGCGCTGCTGCACGCAACTCAAGCCGATCAACACTGCTGCTGCTTGACCGTACTTAACAACATATTCGCACGATTGAGAGCGAAGTATCTGATTGAGAGCGAGATCGTGCGATACGATGTAGCTTGTCTACTGCTGAGCGGTAGAGCTTGCTGTGCGGCTTGGATTGACGGGCATGCCCATAGCTACAAGCCGATACCCGGGTCATCCTGCGGGTGTCTCGCGTTGTGGAGCTACACCGCGGAGCAGAAGCTACGGGAGGGCCTACCGCGCCAGGCGACGGCGCCCTGAAACAGTTTCGGGCAGGAATAGCCAATCTGGGGAAATCTAGCAACGTGCGTAGCTCCTCGCTGCTGCAGCCGATCGCAGTGACACGCATATGCACGCGAAGCTGCTGAAGAGAGCTTCAATTAGCGCCGCTTTTCGGAAGAGCCCGTCCCCTGCTTCCCGAGAAATGACGGGAGGCGTCTGGACCCGAATTTCGATTTTTTTTGGTTTTCGCTCTCAATCGGAAACTTGGCTCTCAATCGTGCGAAAACCCTGTNGTTCTTGTCCGTGGGTTGCTCTATGTCTCGGACGGTTGTTGCCGGAGATAATAGATCAAAGACTCAAAAGTCCGAGGATGATAGATGGTGCTTTGAAGAGGAAACTTTGTCGTTGATCCTGCTCGCTGCTGTACTCAACTCAAGCCGATCAACACTGCTGCTGCTGCTCGACCGTACTTCTGCACTCACTTGCTGGAACCAACCACCGCTTCGAACTCTGTCAACGCACTGGTAACCGGACACTCAAGCTCGCCTTCTGCTCCTTGCCCTGGTAGACTCTCTCTTCTGAATTCATGAGCGGCAGCGCTGCTGCTGCTGCACGACATCATTCACGTACGTCCACAGAAATATGCCAATTCCGCCGCAAAGCGGCGCAAAGCGGGGACCGAACCCAAACAACCCTGAAGCGAGCCTACTTCGTACCACATTCCCCCACACTGCTTTTTGACAGGTGGAAAATTTTCACTATGTCCAAAAGTAATCCACAACGTCATGATTTCCTCTGTCTGAGAGAAATGGCATGAAGTACTCTTTTCCACACTGAAACTGGTATATTCTCGCTCGCGGCCGCTCTTATCTGGCGACAAATGAAAATTTGTAACACACATATATGTCATATATATCCTTCTTGAAAATGGCACAACAACAAAATAGTACTTAAAGAGAATGGAATTCGATCTATCTTCAGCAGGGACCCGATTTTTAACTCCACGAGATCAAGCCTTCGTCAAGCCTTTCACAGAATGTGGCGTCTTGCAGCAGCGGAGGTGGCGGTGCCGCTGTAGCTCGTAGACTTTGTAGTCTACCACAGAGGTTACACTGCTGTCACCGCTCTATCACAGAGGTTGGTCTACACTGCTGTGAGA